AACAAAAAAAAAAAAAAAAAAAAAAGTAACAAATTATGTACTTTTATTAGGTACATAACTACATACAAGAAAACTATACAAAAAGCAAATCAAGATTAACATGTGATTCAAAGTGTGGCAGTTGGATAGTGGGAGGCAGTGACTGGAATGGCAGAGACTACTTGGGTAAAGTAATTTTAGCTTCTGTTTTGAGGAATTTGGTATCCATTCCGTGGCTGTCGTGAGCTGTTTGTTTCTCAGTACTCACACATAGCCTCACCTCTTGACTTCCTTGCAAGCTTCAGCTAGATTCTGTTCAACTTCTCTTTTCTAGAGGGAGGGATGTCTTTTAACAGTGGCAACAAGGCCTTATTTTTAAATAGCAAGTTTCTGCTTGCTACTCAGTTAATGTATTAAATCCTTCCTTCCTTCCTTTCTTCCTTCCTTCCTCACTTACTTCAAGATGAGCAGTCTTACTATGTTGTCCAGGTTTATGTTAAACTCCTGGGCTCAAGTGACCCTCTCACTTCCACCTCTCAATTGCTGGGACTACAGGGATGCATCACTACATCCTGCCTTTCATATTTACTTATAGACTGTTAAGATATTTGATTTAGAAAACTAAGTGAATGGAATATGTGGAAATGGAGATTACAAATAAAGATTACTCATGTAAGTCCTAACCTGGTAATACATTGGTCTTAAACATATTTATAAGATTTATTATGAAAATCTATGTTGTGGCCTTGTGTTGTGGTGCATGTCTAGTCTATAATCCTAGCACTTGTGAGGCTGAGGAAGGAGGGTTCATGTGAGTGTGTAGCTACATGGTGAGTTCAAGGGCAGCCTGAACCACACAGTGAGACCCTGTCTCAAAAGAAAAAAAAAATCTATGTTGTATATGTATTCCAGTAATCTGCTTATCCCACTCTAAAATACACTGTAAGCATATTTCAATATCAAAGTCTTCAAAGTTAAGTGAACATTTCAAAGGTCAATACAGTGTCAAAATTTGCTCCATTGCCTGGATATATTCAAGCAAAATTTCTATTATTGTTATATTTTAAAATTCCAATTTCCTTGGCACTCAGTTACATTTACCTCCTTATGCAACTACAAGCTGCAAATCAATTTGGCTTGTAGGCTGGTACATAAATTGTAATTTAAGGTTTTGTTCCATAAGTGGGAAATGTGACTTATTCTATTATTTCAGGATAAATGTTACCAATCAGAAATATTTTTTCAAAAGGAGAATAGGGAAGAGTTGTCAGAAAACCCCTGAACTCCCTCCTACCAGTTACAAATAAGATCATATGTTTTATAAATGTCTTCAACAGATAATATTATGTCATCCCACAAAAGATCAGATGTGAATGAGCTACCTGTCAAAAATAACACACCAACTTGCATTTGCAGTGTCAGAATGTGCATATTTAAGATCAGAGTGCTTCCTGAGGTTATAATAGGGAGACGAGAGAGTTGGCTGGATGCCAGTCCACAGGAGCTGAGATGCTATAGGCTGCCTCTGTTGATTGTATACACCTGTAGGTAATTGCATCAGTCATCAAAGAAACCTGCCTCATTCTTTTGTCTGAAGTGGAGAAGGGGTACCCATGAGGCAAGACGTCAAACGTTCGTTCATGAGTTCCTGGATATATACTACTATTTATAAGATCTCCTCTTAACGGAGTATGACCACACACCTTCAGGCACTGGAAATTCATGCCTGAAGGAATTGGAATGATGTAACATCTTAGTACATGTAGTTGGTTGAAGTCAATATATGTTTAAATTTATATTCAGTACTGCGTCAGATTATATTATTATAAATTATCCCTTATTCACCTTAAAATCATTTAAAAGATAGGGAAGGAAGGGACTAGACGTAGGAAATAATCACAAACTGCAAAAAACAGTGTATGTACAATTAAGGAATAAAGAAGTGTTTTAGAAACTTAAATACTGCACAGTTCTCCTTTTAAAAGGATGATAAATTTCTTGTGATTCCTTAATGCTTACTTAAATTAGTTTTATTATAATGTTGTTAAAATATGTAGATATAAGTTTGGTATAAATGTCTTATGCTAATGTGACTATACAAGCCAAAACAAACTTACAAGTGTAAGTGAAGCTAGAAAGCCAAATAAGAGTAAAGTTGACAATATTTATTTAATACGACAATTGGTAACATTTTGCTGGAATTAATCCATTTGCTAAATAAGTATAGTCTAATGTAGATTCTTTGGAGTTTAGTGCTTCATTTCTAAACTCTTGACTGTACGTTGGGAAAGGATAGAGATACATGTGGATTTTCTTGGGGCTCCTGTAAACTCCTAGAATAAGTGAAAGGATGCTTGAAAACCTAACCAGATGCTGTTGTTCTAAATTTGAACTTTGAGGAACTGAACTAAACAAAGTTAACCAGCATCGGATAATTGTTTCTATATTTTTTAAACATTTAAAAATAAAAATGAGATCACAGGCTCTGCTCATACTTCTGCAGACCCTTCTGCTTCCCAACCGTCCTGTGAACCCTTTCTTAAGTGCCTCCTTCCAGCTCAGGCAGCAAATACCTTTATGCCAAAGTTTGAGACAGACCATTTTCTTTCAGCCCCCTTAATGTTGAGAAGTCATTTCTACTTTACTTGTGCAGGAAAGGTCTCCAATATATAATCACCACTAATAATCCTTGGTCTTTGTCTCCGTCCAAATATAAACAAAGCTACAAAGCCAAATACGCGTTAAGCTGACAATATTTATTTAATGTGACAATTGATGATATTTTCCTGATCTTTCTCCTCCAAGGTGAGGTAAATTGCCAATTACCAGGTAATAGCAACACGGAAGAGTGAATCCACTTACGGAGAATTCATGAAAACAATATGATTTCTCTTTTACAAATTCTCATGCTTTAATGAGGGAGCAGTAGCAAGCATGAATGAGAATGAAAATAATAAAAATATTAGAAATCCTAACATGATCTATCACATGGCATAAAACATAAAAGATCTAGAGTATTAATACAGCATACATGCCTTTCAGCTTTTAGTACAGCATTAAGTGCAGTTGCAATTTGTGACCACCTATCAGCTCTTATACTTCGACAGACCCTGCCAGGAGTTTTTGTCCTCATTATTTCAGGGCAGAGGCCTTGCTGTAGCTTCCTGTTCTCCATAAACCACATTGCAAGAGGATTGCGTATGGTACAGCATTGTGGACCAGGTGATCTGGGGAAGAGTCAGGAGATGAGAGATGAAGGGGAAAGGCGTGGAAGTGGCGAATGCCTCTAAAGTTGGGGAGGTTGAGGACGGTAGGAGGGGGCATCTCTCTGCAGAACGGTCTCAGTTGGGCTCTAGCACCTAGGGCAGTGTTCGTTAAATGTGCCCAGAGAGGAAGCACACTTACAAAGTTAGAACCTGTATTTCCAGAAAGTTTCCCTTAGAAATTTGAATTTAGAGTCTAAACCTGGGCGTATGGAATCTGTTTCTGTTTAATACAGGATGCCATGCCAGGTAAAATACAACTTGTCTAAAAATAAATAAGGAACTCTCAGAACTATGTTTAGTACATAATCCAATCCAGAGTTCATGGGACATTGGAATGCATGGAAACAGAACAGTATTGCAGCAGAATATTTGCATGCAATATAGAAAATTAATAAATAAAATACCAAAATGACTCAATTTTTGTCCTTATGAGATTATTATGCACATTCTAAAGAGCTTTCCAATTTTCTAAGAATTATGGTATGACTGACAAGAACAGTACCCACTCTCCAACCAAAAAAAGGTGGGGGCGGAACTGAGGAAGGAAAGCATGTCGCTTGCTGCCATCTTGTGGCAGAATCGTGTAGTTAATGATTACAGGCTGAAAGCAAATACCTTGGGTTCTTTAACGTATTTATTAAGTATCTTGTAAAAATCACTTGAAATCACAAAGACGGCTTTCTCCTTAAAAAATCACTACTTTACTTAAATTGTAAATTGAAGAAAACAATGGGACTTAAGAGACAAGTGACATCTTTAATTATTCTGTTAGCATTGGTAATGCTGTTCTCCCATTTATGGGTGAGGGGGAAGACTTAATTTTTTTAAATTTATTCATTTTTTTCTCTTAAGACGGTGTGAGTAGTGGATTGGCATACATATGGAATGTAGCCAATGAGAGAGGTCTCGACCTTTCATCTATTCCATTTCAAATTCTCTAGGGCGAGTCTACCTCGAAGACAGATAAGCTTCTCTGGAAGATGTAGATAGAGGGCTGAGGCTTTCAGAAATGATATTATCCCATCAGTAGCTGGAGAACATAGTTTCTACTTTGGTGGTTAATTTTATGCATCAACTTGACCCGGTATTTTTCAATAGGTGGATCATCAAATGAATTTCTCAAACTTTTGCTTCGCCAAATAAAGTGTAAAGTCTATTCAGAGGCAATTAATTTTTTCTGTGGTAGGCAAGGATTCTAGTACTTGTATATTTACTTCCTCAAAGGACAAACACTGGGCCTAATGCAGTCTAGATAGACATCGGCCACTTTGTTGGTTGACCAGAGACCTCTGGACCCACCATTTCCTAGGAGACATCTTTGTTCTTTCCATTCATGCTTGTTTCCCAATTGGACCACTATTACCTAAGTGCCTGTGTTTGTAAACTTATAGGACGATCATGGCTGTGGACCATAAAGTACCCACGTGGGTTTTGCTCTATAAAACTCCTCTATAAAGTTGGGTCCCTGACTACCCACTACCTCAGGAACTTTCCTATCAATAAATATCTTCCTACTCTTAATCTCTGCTGTTCCTAGACATCATTCTTCAATTTTTAGAGAACAAGAGCTTGGCATATCATACAGCTACCAGGCTGGGATATATAGTTCATATTTTATTTCTGGTATTATTTAGCGTATCACCAGGTAGCAGAAATCTTTTTCCATTGTTCACCTTACTTTATGAACAACTTATGACTTCGTAGGTGCAGGGACATACAATACCAAAATCTTCACACTACCAGAAATATAACATGGACTGGGCCTTTCTCCTAAAATGCCTACATTTTGTTTTCATTCGTTTTTGAAGGTAGAGCAATCTTCCATCCATTTCTGAATGCTTATTTGATGTCACTAGGTAGTTTTTCATAGTTTGGGGAGGCATGCAGCTTTTTATTGATAGGTTAGATTATCTTCCTATAATTAAAACAGATACTGTAATGGAATGAAAATAAGTATTAACAAAAAAAATCAATGTCTAATTAGATTGAAATAGACTAGTATTGAGATCAGAGACTTCTAACTGACATAGGCTACTTTTCCTGGTCAATTTTTTTGTCTCCCCCCAAACACAAGAGCAGGAGGGGTCCTTTCTGTTTACACAATAGCAGTAGTTCCCAATCGTTTTCACTTTACACTCTAGGTGGGAGGGATGAGCTTTTAAAAAAGTGTCTTTGTCCAGATACTGCTCTAGAGGAATCAAAATTCCCCAGATGAGTTTTTCCTAAGAAAATCTACAAAATCCGACATTTGTAAGAGCCTTCCGATTTCCCCCAGAGCCCTTCATTTCTGCTCCTAGGGGCTCAGTGACTAAATTTCCTTAGGCCTCTGAGGCTGCTTGGCTTCCCCGACGATTGACAGAACGATCATCCAATCGGATTGCAGCCTGAACAAGTTTCAAACGAACCGTTAACAAGCAACAAAAACAAGACACTTTATCTCAGTAGGAAAAACTACATCACAGTAACACAGGCCAGCAAGTCAACAAAAGTCCAAGGCTTTTCGCTGGGCGTCAGCGAGGCTCAAGTACTCCTAGAAGCTTTAAACCAAACAGGATCTACCCAGCCCAAAAATGCCAGTGAGGCGGTGCTTACTCAGCCTCCTGGGCGCCCTCACCTTACGCCACTTCCGCCCGGCTGCTATGCGCAGTCTACCAGATTAGGTTGAAGCAACTTCCTCTTTTCTTCCCCCTTTTCGTCTCCATAACCTCGCCTCCCGGAAGCTTGCAACAGGTCAGAGGTGAGCCGCGGGAGGCTGGTGCAGTCCTTGGTGAATAACTGTCGCGCGTTGGAAGGAACCAGATTAGGTGATGGTTTAGGACACCAAGGGGCAGGTAAGAACTGGGGAATCGCCACCCCCTCCGGCTCTGGGTGTTCCATCTCCCAGGCCTGCACCAAGCCTCAGCAGAGACCGGGTTCCTCGGCCTCTTTGTAGTCTGATTGCGGCCCTTACCCTGCACCTGTCTTCTCGCTTGCAGGCGAGGTCCGACTCTGCTGCCTCCCATACTCCTTGCTGGAATTTGAGGAGGAAGCGGAGTAATCTGTAGTCTCGGTGATGGCAGAGTTGCTTCCTAAAGTAGCGATTTAGCATCCGTTCCGCCTTCTTTGAGCTCTGAAACTCTGACGTCAGATAGAGTACAGAGGAAAAACTCGGCTTTTCACCCAGGACTAACCTCCCTAGGGCTGCACGAAATAGTGAAGAGAACATTTGAAATAAAGGAAAAGTGCAGCTATTAACAGGAGAGTTGGTGTTTCTGAGCGCGTAGTTTACGCCTCCGGTAATTATTCTAAATTCTTTCTGTAATTTTATGATCCGTTTCTTACAAAAGTAGAAGTATTATACTGTTGTTCATGGTTTAGGAAACTGAGGTCAGAGATGATAACTGTCTTGTCCGTTGTTAGTAGACATTTGCCAGATCTTTCACCTCCTGATTCTCGAAAACACTATAGAAATAACTTATATCATAATCAAATTATACTTTTCTTATTTTGGCATTTCAGGAAGGGAGATTCCTGAAATTTATTCCTAATCTCTTCACTCTTTCTTTTACTATTGTCTTATTAACATCTTTATTTAGAAACTTAAAATCATGTCAATATGGCCCTGATTGACAATTTAGTGTTTTCTTTCCTAAGAGGAGTTAGGTGTGGAGTTTATAAGTGGGCCTGTGATAAAGGATTAGAAAATTACTAGTTTTTACATCAAAGGTGTTCTCTATATTTCTGCTGTCCTTAGTTATGTTATCTCACTGTCTGACTTTTTTTCCCCCCTCCAGGGCAACAGCTAGCATTTTAAGCCAAGATGTCAGGAGTTGGAAATAAAAGAGCAGCGGGAGACGCCGGCACATCCATGCCTCCCGAGAAGAAAGCAGCTGTTGAAGATTCTGGGACCACAGTGGAAACAATTAAGCTAGGGGGTGTTTCTTCAACGGTATGAGAAAATAATTCTATGAAAGCGTGCTTTTCTTGTGAGTTGCAAACAAACTAAAAATTTGAGGAATCCTTTTGGAGTGAGGGGAAGTCATTTGAAAAGAAGAAAATAAGTGGTGTGTGTGAAATGATGTGGTGATCAGTTCTGGAAGAGAGATGTATTGACAGTTGATTTTTATTTTTGAGGTGTGTTTATGTTCTTTTGAGAGTCTGGTGCCTGACACAGCATTTAGCAGTTGGACTATAAACATTTCATTTTTCATTCTCTGCAAACTTGGTGCTAGATTCTAAGAGGGAATGTAATAAAATCATTGAGAGTAGTGAAGAGTGAGAGCCTGAAACTAGACAGCCTGTGGTTTATTCTCTGCTGTATTACCACTTTGTAGCTGAGTGGCCTTATATTTTCCTTTCTTTGCCTGTGAAATGAGCTTAAATTACCTATGATATTAGATTGTTGTGATGATAAAACGAGAGTCTTTGTTAAGCACTAAAAATGCCTGTCTGTAAAAAGTACTCAGAAAAGCGAACTATTAATAGTTGTCATTGGATTAGATAATAGTGAATAAAAGTATCCTTGCTCTTATAGAGATGACATGAGCATATATTTCATTAGAGTATATATACCAAAACTCATAGTAATGTTACATGTTTAACTATCAAGCTTACAGGTTTTCATCTAGTTAAAAATTCTGTATTTTGGGCTGGGGATTTGGCTCAGTGGTTATGCCACCTGCCTCACACGTGCGAGGGCCAGAGTTTGATCCCTGGTACCAAAAAAAAAAAAATAAATAAATAAATAAATAAATAAAATAAAATTCTGTATTTTGGAACTCAGCCCTGGGGATGTGATATTAATGTTTTTTTCTTTTGTATTATTTGATTACTTGTATTACTTGATTGTATTACTTGATTTTTGAGGCCAAGGTTCAAAAAGGTTGAATTTTTTTCATTCTGACTACTAGGAGCATTCATAGTAAATTGTTGGTGAAGTGTCCTTTCTAGGACTGTCTGGGGTTCTTGTACTCTGTTCTGCTGCCAGGAGGTGACTTTTTCTTAGCACTGTCTTACATCATATACCCCAAAGGCATTTATTTAAAGGTATTTATTCAGATATTCAAATATCAGTATTTGTTGAACATCCGTTATTTGCTGGATATTGTGCTGTACCCTGAGGACAGCCTTTAGACTTCAGCTTGTAGCGTGTCACTGACAGGGAAATGAACTGTTACAGTAGAGGGTGACATATGCCAGTGATAGAGGCGAACACATGCCCTGAGGGAAGCAGAGTACACATCCCAGTTTGGACTTGATCCACAAGTGTTCCTCTGCAGTGGATCCAATGGCAGTAAGCAGCCATTGGAGGGTCTTAATAGAGGAGAGTAATATGCTCTGACTCGTGTTTGAAGAATAGACTGTAGAGGAACAAGGATTACAGTAAGGGTCCATTTAGCAGAATTGTTCCCTTGCTCCTTTCTTTGTACCCTTTTGCTACTTCAGCTCTACTTCTCCAAAGATGGGGATATGAGGCATGTATCATTGAATACACACACACACACACACACACACACACACACACACACACACGGCATATTTCGTGACCCGGTTGGCTGAAGGTTGCTCTTGAAGGCAATTTCAGAGTTGCTACAGTGAACCTGCAGGGACTCCAAAGTATGCTTGAAGTGGGAACAGTGGCAGTATGAATGGAGCTGTCTGTCACAGCTGTGCTGAAATCTCATGGGGCTGGCCCAACATGGTGCAAAGTATTGGCTGTGGGAGGACTTTACAGTCGTTCTAATGAGGGAGGTAACCTGGTGGTATGGACCACTGTGGAGACAAGATTACCAATGGATTGGATGAAGCATATGAGAAATAAGAGGGAGGGTCACCCTGGGATTTTGGAAGTAATTGAGTTTTTCTCTTATTGAACTAGGGAGGGGTATGAGAGGGACAGATTTTGGGGAGGCATAGAGCGTGAATCATGAGTTTGGTTTTGTTTTGAACACTAAGAGGTTTATTAGATCCCTCAGTAGTTAGGTACTTGTAACGTGGACTCTGGAGAGAGATGTGGGTTAAAGCTGAACATTTGGAAGTCATCATTTTGTAAATGGTATTTAAATTAATGAGTTATAATAAGTAATTTCATACTTATTATACAGTAGTATTGTATTACACTATTATATAGTATAATGAGTATTTAATAATAAATGGTATTAGGGCTAGGGATTTGGCTCAGTGGTTCTTCTGCCTGCCTCGCAAGTACAAGGGCCTGAGCTCCATCCCCGGTACCAAAAAAACCCAAGCAAATAAATGGTATTTAAAGTTTCCCTTAAGCAATAAGCATAAAGAAGAAGTCTGACGATTGAGTCTTGAGATACCACAACATATTCACATCATCAAGAAGATGAAAAGAAACTAGAGGCAAAAAGGTGGGGGGAACAATGAGGTAGGAGAACAAGAGTGGGATCCCAGAGGCGTTGATCAGGTGCTGCTGATGGGTTGAGTAAGGAGAGGACTGAGATATATTTAGCAATAGACACTTTGTTGGATACTCAGCAAGACCTGTGTTGGTAGTGGTGGGTATGGAAGTCTAATTGCAGTGAGTTTAAGATAATATGAGAGGAGAAGAATTAGAAAAGAACATAGAGACAGTGCTTTGGAGGACTATTGTATTAAAGTAGAACAAAGAAAATTGGGCAGTAAACAGAGAAATGTGGAATCAAGGGAAGGTTTTATTTTATTCATTTCTGTTTGCTTTTAAATTTGCAGATAGAGCAGCAGTTGATTGAACTGATTTGGTAGAAAGGATGACATTGATGATATAGCAAAACGAGGAGCCAGTTACTGATGTGATGACCTGGAGTAGCTGCGAGGTGATGTAATGTAGTGCACAACTGGAAGAACTGGCCCTAACCAGTAGCAGGGGCAGTTTATCCATGGCAGTAAGAAGGAAGTCTGGGTGTTGGTTTAGATGTAAGTAGGTTGGTAGCTATGATTGTGGGAGGTAGGTTTGGGCATTCTCTTTTAATAGCTCCTTTTGTTTCAGTGAAATCAAAAGTACAACTCATCTAAGAGTGAAGATAGGGGAAGAACTTTTGGAGATTTGAAGAGACAGGATGTGATGTCGTCATCTTGAAAGAATGGACTTGAGAGATAGTAAGATTACTGTGTAGCACTGGGAAACCATTTGAATTTGTGAGCATGAATTTAAAGTTAAATCAATTAGTCTGATAGTTACTTTTTCTGTTCACATTGAGCTGCATTGATCTTGGAGTAGGTAGAGTTGGCTGTCACTAGAGTTGAGGTATTTACCAAAGAAGTACCATGAAGAAGCAGGGAAAGAGGAGAAGGTATTCAAAAGGAGGTGATTATAATGAGTGATCATAGAATTTATTTGCTAAGAAAGGAGATGAGGAAATGAGAGGAGTGAAAGGTAGAGGACTAAAGGATTGGAGGTTCTGAAGAGACTGAAGAGTGGCTGAAGCAGAAAACAGAGAAAGCTGGAAAAATAAGTGGTAGTGATAGAGAATGAGTTTATAGAGAATTTGCAGGTGTAGCTAAGACTTAGAGTGAGAATAACTGGGAGCTGGTGACAGGTAAGAAGACAAGATAATGGGTGGAGAGGAGGTCAGTACTTCAAGGTACAGAAGACCATCTATATGGGGACTGAAATCATTAAGAATTATTATAGTATTTTAGCAGGTGGTGATAAGTTAAATCTTTGAGGAATGAATAAACTTTACAAAAAGTTCAGCAAACAGGATGGCAGGCAAAGACTAATGGCATAAGCTATAAAAGGTAGGTTTTAGGGTGACAGGTGGGATAATAGCTTGGAAGTGGAAATGGAGAGTAGGGAAGATACAATCTGCCTCTAGGCTTCAAGGTGTGGGGGAAAAACTGCTGTCACTAGAGAAGCCTATGGGAAAATAGTGTTCTCATCTAAGTTTTAGTTAGAGCAAGAAGGAAAAGATAATGTTCAGAGAAGAGGCTAGTTTATTAATAATATGAATAAGCTGGTACAATAGGAAAACTGTTGACTACATTGATGTATCAAGGATGTCTTAACCGAAATGGGAGAAGAAAAGTAGAACAAGAAATCAGTGTTCTGTTAAACAATCCCAGCATTAAAATGTATTAATTCCCAGTAAACCATAAGATGTTTCTTTGCTTGGGCTATTCCACCCTTGGGCCCATTTCCAGTTTGTTCTAGGGAAGGAGCTAGAGAGAGGTTAAAGGTATTAAGAGAGTATGAAATTACTGATGCAGTGAGGGTTTTGCAGAAACAGAAGAGAAGGGATCCTGAGCACAAGTTGAGATTTTTCAGAATGTGTGTACATACTTCGGTGAGCTGTGTGAATGGATCAGAGAGGTGGAGAATTGGGTTGTTTCCCATCTGATGACTTTATTTTGTTGTTACGATAGGAAGCAAAGCTATGTAGTGTGATGTGAGAGTGACTGAGCTCAGTAGTTTGATATTCCTTTGGAGAGAAAGAACATTCACTTGTTAAAAAATATTTCTGGACAAATATTATAAGATGTGGTCAGGTTAGGAATTCGTTTTATGAAGTCATCAGTTTCGATGGTGTAATTTGAAGTCTCATCATGTTGGGTATAGGAAGGAATAGTCAGATGTTTGGGCAAACAGACTGTCCAGACCATTCACACGGGTAGAATAAAAGGCAGAGTTGAGATTAGTAGACAGGTGTTTGAAGGAATGTACTTCAAGTTATAATCAGGATATGGAATTTGGTAGAAATAGAACAGAATTGAGATGAAGAAAAGAGAATTCAAAATTCTGGAGACATAAGTGAGGTGAAAGGACTGGTAGAATGGCATAAGGACACGTGATACCTGGCAAGGGAATGGGAAGTTGGAATTTAAGAGTTTAAATGTAGCAAAGCGTATGATACGGCTTTTGAAATGCAAGGCTGAAATACAGTGGAGGGGATATCTGGATTTAAGGAGTTCAAAATACTGACAGCCTTGATGCCAGAGGATTAGATGGTTTTTCCACATGTATGTTGAAATCACCAGATATGTATTGATAGGGACTTGAATACAGGAAAACCCAGACTGTTGTGTGGAAGAAATAGAATACAATGGCAGTTGAAGTAGAGGATGATCTATTTAGATTGTGGAATCACAATGTAGCATTATTTTGTAGAGAAACATGTGGATGGAACAGTGAGATGGGTGAGATTGAGATCAGTATTCTTGGGTGTTGTTTATTTCCTTATATATTAGCGTCACCTGTGTCTTTATCGCTTTTGCTCTTTTTATTGTAATTATTTTTTTAAATGAATAGCTCTTCTCTCATAACATAACTTAATGTGACTCTCTTTGTGGAGACTAACAGTACTGGTTTCCTGGGGCAGGAGGAATTAGACATCCGAACACTGCAAACCAAAAACCGCAAGCTTGCAGAAATGCTAGATCAGCGGCAGGCCATTGAGGATGAGCTTCGTGAGCACATTGAAAAGTTGGAACGGCGACAGGCCACTGATGATGCCTCCCTGTTGATTGTCAACCGGTACTGGAGTCAGGTATCCTCTTTGCTTATTTGCTCAGATTTGTGTGAGCAATTTATTTCTTAGTACCTTCTTCATGTCCTTTTTGCTTTCTTAATTGTTTGTATGTTTCTCCAGTTTGATGAAAACATCCGTATCATCCTTAAACGTTATGATCTGGAGCAGGGTTTGGGAGATCTGCTCACAGAAAGGAAAGCCCTTGTTGTGCCGGAACCAGAACCCGACTCGGATAGCAATCAAGAACGCAAAGATGACCGAGAGAGAGGTGAGCATGGTGTTTTCTATCACTGTCTGTTATTTCAAAATTGAGCTTTGTTGTGAGGCTACACATTTAAGGGAAAAGAAAGAATTTTGATATTTCCAGTTTTATAATTTTGAGGCACTTTTTTTTTTTCCTCTTGTGTTCTCAGGGGAGGGGCAAGAGCCAGCTTTCTCTTTCCTTGCTACTTTGGCCAGCAGTTCCAGTGAAGAGATGGAATCCCAGCTGCAGGAGCGTGTTGAATCCTCCCGTCGAGCTGTGTCCCAAATTGTAACCGTTTATGATAAACTGCAAGAAAAAGTGGAGCTTTTATCCCGGAAACTGAACAGTGGAGGTTAGGCAAGATCCTGGAGACCAGAACCAGTGAGGGAACAATAAGAACAAATTTTTGTGGGGCTAGAAGTATATAGCTCAGTGGCAGAGCATATGCCTAGCCTTTGTGAGACCTTATCCCCAGCACGAAAAGAAAAGAAAAAAACTCATGCTAACTTGTAGTTTGCAAACTTAACCTGTTTACTTTAAATTAAATTCCTTGGGATCCTAATCTTTTTTACTGGTAACGGTTTTACAGTGGCATATTCGTATTTTAAGAATGTTTCTCATTTGAGCTATATGACAGTCCTTCAGGAAGTCATGGAAACAATTTTATCAACCTATTATGATGCTGTTAATTAGATACTTTTATAAAAGCGGAATTAATTTTTTTACCTCAAAGAATCAGTTTCTGGTATGCCGCCCCCACTTTAGTGCTATTGCACCCAGGACCTTAACACTGAGCTATATCCCCGGACCTTTTTTTTTTCTAAACTAAAGTATAGTTCTTCCTCAGATAATCTGATAGTGGAGGAAGCAGTGCAAGAGCTGAATTCCTTCCTCATACAAGAGAATATGAGGCTACAGGAATTGACAGACTTACTTCAGGAGAAGCATCATACCATGTCTCAAGAGGTATTTGACCAGAAAGGAGAGGTGGCTGTTTCTAGTGGGTTTGGCAGATGTTAACACGGAGGATTCTGAGTGCTTTAAATGTCCTCTTACTCCAGAAGACCTGTTTTTACATTGAAGAGCATGCAGTGGAGGCTAAAGCAACCAGCTCTGAGAAATCAAAATCTGAGGAACGGTTAAAGGAAGAAGAAAATAATTGAATATTTCTCCTTGACTATGTCTCTGCTTAAAAAGTTAAAGATCCTCATCTTTAGGAAGACGTTCCTGTGGGATTTTTCAAAATCTCAGATAATGAATTACTCCAAACCCAACATACAGGAACAGTGTTACGAAAGAAAGATTTGATTAAAATTCAGCAGAAAATTGGATATAGGAAACTCTCCATTGATGATGTCTTAGGGACTCGAGGATTACAAGTTTTCTAGACTTGGACATAAATAGTGCCAAGACCAAACCATACCAAGATCTGGGCTTTTATTTACAAAGTACTTAAAGTGCTAAGAGGTCTTTTAAGACTCATGTGATATTCATGATTATCGTTTTGGCTGTACTGTACTGAAATGCAACCTACCTTGGTTTAGACACTGACTTCTCAAGCTAACTAGTAATTTAAGGTACTATGTACCTAGTACCTAGAATTTCAGCATTGTGTAAATATTTAATGGTAAACTAGTTCTCATTTTACTTCTAAGGAAACAAATTCAAAAAGTTAGTAACTGGTTTGAGGGCAAATAGCTAGAAGGCAACTGATCTATGTTTTGAGTATAGATCTGTTACATTTCAAAGCCACAATCTTCATATGCCCTTATTTCATCAACTGCATTGTTAGGATCCATGCCAGGCTGGTTGCATGAGAATCATCTAGGAGTGTATAAATACATATTGATTCTCAGGGGCCTCCAAAGGGGTTAGAGTGGAGTGACATTTAAAGTGGAGTATGGTAGGAAAATGAAATAACCTGTAATATTTTAAGAAATAAAGTAGCTACTACCAAGATGACAAGGTCTTCATTTTATCACCCTTTCCCAAATCTTGGCATTACTAAGTTGGGGGCACACATTGTTTTGCTCATCTGGGTTGATGTGCAAGATGGTTCTCATAGCTGCCCATTGGTGCTTGCCTGTCTGCTGGGAGCTCACCTGAGTTGCCTGTCAGAATACCTGTAGCTTCTGCATGGCAGGTTTAAGGTGGTTGCATTCTTATGTGGTAGCTGATATCTTCCAGTGAGTAAGAACACCGGGCAGACCCTACATTGCCTTTCTGATCTAAATTCGACGTCATGTCACGTATTTTTGTTGGGTTATTAAAATTCACCCAGATTCAAGAGGAGAAAACTGACATTCCACTTTTTGATAGGAGGATTGTCAAGGAATTATGGGAACTTAAGCTAGTGATGTAAGGCATACCTTCTTTAACTCATTCTTTTAAAATATGTTTTTCTGAATGCCTGTCTTTGGAATGTAGTTCTCCAAGTTACAGAGTAAGGTGGAGACAGCTGAGTCACGAGTGTCTGTCCTGGAATCCATGATTGATGATCTGCAGTGGGATATTGACAAAATTCGCAAAAGGGAACAGCGACTCAACCGACACTTAGCAGAAGTTCTAGAGCGGGTCAGTGCTGTTTTATTGTAGCTTGGAGACGAGAGTCATTTTAAGGAATTTTGTCAGAATCAACTTGGAGAGTGTTTTCTTGGAGGAAAAAACTGATCCTTGTAAAGTATATTGACTTGTCAAACTAAGAACTTCAGGTCTATCACTAAAGAATCTTTTTTCTCTGCCACAGGTGAATTCAAAAGGTTACAAGGTGTATGGTGCAGGGAGCAGTCTCTATGGTGGCACAATCACTATCAATGCCCGGAAGGTAAAGTCAGTGATCCGTGTAGGACAGTGTTTGACCTGGTGTCTGGTCCTGTACCTGGAACTTGGGTAGGTTTACAAGTAGCAAAGTGAGGTTTGCTAGAGGAATAGTCAGTGAATCTGGGAAGCTTGGAAGTGTGAATGATTTAACACTTCTTTGTCTTTATTCTCATTTGCTGTTTTTCTGTTTCTTTCCAGTTTGAGGAAATGAATGCAGAGCTTGAGGAGAACAAAGAGTTGGCTCAGAACCGACACTGTGAACTGGAGAAACTTCGGCAAGACTTTGAGGAGGTTACTACCCAGAATGAAAAGTTGAAGGTAGGAGACACATTTGTACAGTACAGTAAAACCAGACTTTTTGCTGATCAGTTCATATATAGGCATGTACACTTGTGAGGCTGCATCATTTATGAGGGAGAACAAAAAAAGTAGACACAATTCAATATCCTTTCGTGGTAAAAACTCAGTGAATTAGGTATAGAAGAAATGCACCTGAACAACAAAGGATATCTATGACAAACCCACAGTTACATCATACTTAGTGATGAAAAATGGAATGTTTTCCTCTAAGATTAGAAAAAAGACACAGATGACCACTCTTGCCACCTCTGCTCAGTATCGTACTGGAAGTTCTAAGAAGAGTAGGCAAGAATAAGAAAATAAAATGTCCCCAAATTGGAAAGGAGAAAATAAAGTTGTCTCTGTTTGCAGATGACATGGATTTATACATAAGAAAGACCTGAGTTCGATCCCCGGTGCCAAAAAAAAAAGAATGTTTTGGGTTTTGGGTTACGGGCTGGGGATTTAACTCATTGGTTCTGGCGACTGCCTTGCAAGTGCAAGGGCCTGAGTTCAATCCCCAGTACCCTCCGCCCCTAAAAAAGTCTTTATACATAAGAAACCCTCAGTCCTCCAAAAAACTTGTAAGCATTATAAATGAATTCAGTAAACTTGCAGAATGCAGAATCAGCATGCAAAAATCAGTTGTTTCTATGTACTAACAATAAACTATGAGACAGAAATTGAAATATTATTTTACAATAGCATCAAAAACAAAATACTTATGAATATTCAAATATGAGAGTTGTACACTGAATAAAGAATATGTGATATAAGTATACAATGGAGTATTATTCAGCCCTAAAAAGGAAAACCTGTCATTGGTGACAACATGGATGAACCTGGAGAACATTATTAGTAAGTAAGATGAGCCAAAGAAAAGTGAATACTGCATGATCTCAATTAGGTATAGAATCTAAAAAAGTGTCATTCATAGAAGTGGAGGATAGAATGGGGGTTGCTGAACACTAAGGGCTAGATAGATGATGGGGAGATGCTAGTCAAAGGGTACAGAATTTCACTTGCCCAGGGTGAATGGAGACCTAATGTACAGCAGAGGGACTATAGTTGATTCTTCTGTATTACATACTTGAAATATGGTAGGACAGTAGATCTTGAATGTTCTCACCACACAGCAGTGGCTTGTTTATGGTAATCATTTCACAGTGGATACATATGTCAAAATATCCTTTGTACACCCTGTGTATAATTTTTGTTGATGATACTTTAATAAAGTTGGAGGAAGATAAGAAAAGTAGGGCCAGGGATTTAGCTCAGTGGTTCCGCCACCTGCCTTGTAAGCTCAAGGACCCAAGTTTGATCCCCGGTACCAAAAAAAAAGAAAAGAAAAGTATAAATGTTATTGATAATACTGTGTGTTTATTTATTTACCTATTTGCTTATTATCTGTTCCCTGCCTTGTTCTGTAAAGGATTTATATGAGCCTATAAAAAAATTATAGAAAAAAAATCAAGGTGCTCTGATGTAGGAGTTGCTGAGAAAAATGAACTAGGGTGAGAATTCAAATAGATATTAGAAACAAGTCTTTGTTTATATGATGCACGATATAAACATGTTTATACTGTGGGAGGACAGGCCATATCCGTGTCACTGTTTGCCAAAGGTGGGCCGTAGATGTGGCTCTGCAGCTTCTTTCTGCAGTGAAAGAAGAAATATGACAAGCAATCCTGCTGGTTTTCAAAACTGTGCCCATTAGGATTAAAAGGGAAGAAAGATTTTAGCAGTCTTCCTCATGTCTTTCAAACATTATTAACTTTTATAGTTTAATTTTTTTCCAGGTGAATAAGATGTTTGAACTAAAAGAGCACGAGCAACCTAAGTAATTTAATTTAAAGTGTTTGAGTAAAACAAGCAGTTGCTTAGAGAAGCAAAACTATTTTTTTTGTTTTTGTTTTTTTTTGGTACCGGGGATTGAACTCGGGTCTTTGTGCTTGCAAGGCAGGCCACCAAAACACTGAGCTAAATCCCCGGCCCAGCAAAACTATTTTTGTTACCATGTCAGAAGTATTTTCTCTGAGGCTGGTAATATGGAAAAGTCAGTGTGTTAGATCCTGGCAAATTTCATAGGGCTCGGGTAGGGGCTCTTTCCCCTAGTGCCTGACTTGCCTTTTCTTTGGGCCCCCTTAAGGTGGAACTTCGGAGTGCAGTGGAGGAAGTGGTTAAGGAAACCCCGGAGTATCGCTGCATGCAGTCACAGTTCTCAGTGCTGTACAATGAGAGTCTGCAGCTGAAAGCACACTTGGATGAGGCGCGAACCCTGCTGCATGGCACCAGGGGAACCCACCAGCGCCAAGTTGAGCTCATTGAGGTAATGGCTTTACTTCATGTTCCATTTTTAAGTTTTCCTGCCTCGATAAACTTTCCAGGTTTACTCTCTCATGTGCAGCTAATCTCTCATTTATTCAGCAAACATATATAGAGAGTAGCTGTAGGTTTCACTCTGCTAGGTGAAGAGCATACAGAGATGAGATAACATTCCTGACCAAAGGAGAATAGTATCTATTAGGGTGCAGTGCATTACCATAGCAGCATATGCAGACCCTACAGTGATGGAAGAGAGAGGATCTGATTTGTGGAGCCTTCCTGATTCTCTTGAGAAAGTAAAATGTGAATTTTAAAGATAAATCCAAGTTTCCTGATATTTAAAGGTGGGGGAAGTGCATTCCCAGCAATGGGACCAGTGTGTATGAAAATGTGAGGGAGCCTGACAAGTAGATTAATATGGCTGGAGCTTGTGTGTATGGGGAGATTGGTGGGTGAAGAAGCTGCACCAGTCCTTACAGGCTGATATAGTGGAAAGTGGCACCTGTAGATAATTTTTTTTAAAGGCAGAAATTTTTATCATGTTTTGTGTTTCTTCCATAGACTTTGATGTATTTGGTCTTTTTATATATATGCCAGCAAATGAATTGACTACTACTTCATAAATACATATATACTATTTTATGGTTTAGTTTTTCAATTAAGTTGCAATAGTCTCAGAGTTGGCGGCCATTTCCTTTATTTAGTGGCTTGCCAGTTTCCACATTGGTGTTGGAAACTCTCCTGGTGTTGATTAAGTATTAAATGGAGTGGACATTTTCAGTTACCCGTTCTTTCTTTGGCATATTCTCGTTGTTTGATCCTTACAGATCAAATATAGGACAGAATAATAGAATATGATGGTCTTTCCGTATCTTGGTAAGAATTTTTGATTGGTTCCATGTTCTGTATGCAGCGAGATGAAGTTAGTCTTCATAAGAAACTGAGGACTGAAGTGATCCAGCTAGAAGATACTCTGGCCCAGGTCCGCAAGGAGTATGAAATGCTAAGGATAGAATTTGAGCAGACCCTTGCTGCCAATGAGCAAGCAGGTATAGTTATTACTCTGCCCTGCACCTTGTCTGCTGTACATGTCCTCCATGAAAGACACAACATGGTTCCCAAGATTTGTTAATACTAACTCAAAAATCCTAAATTGCCTTAAATTAAATCTTATAATTCATGTTGGCTCACAGCCTCAGTGTTTGTTTTCTAACTCAGGTTGTCCAATTTTATTTCCATTCTTTGACAGAGTATTTCTTTCAGTAGTGCTCCCTGTTTTCTAAAGGTTTTTCTTACTTTCTCTCCTTGTGCCTTTACCCTTGTTGCACTTCTTAACGTTGCCATTGCTGTATTTAAGGCCCTATAAACCGAGAGATGCGCCATCTCATCAGTAGCCTCCAGAATCACAATCACCAGCTGAAAGGGGAGGTCCTGCGGTATAAGCGGAAATTGAGAGAAGCCCAGTCTGACCTCAACAAGGTAGCCAGCGGCAGTAGAATAAGTATCACGTACTTCTAAGTTTGCGCAGCAGTTTTTGAAACACCGTGCACCTTTGTTTTCTTTGTTCTCACAGACACGTCTGCGGAGTGGCAGTGCCCTTCTGCAGTCCCAGTCTAGTACTGAGGACCCTAAGGATGAACCCGCAGAGATAAAACAGGACTCCGAGGACTTATCCGTCCAGTCCTCAGCGTCAAAGTCATCTCAGGAGGATGTCAATGAAGTCAAGTCCAGACGAGATGAAGAAGAGCGAGAACGAGAAAGGAAGGAGAAAGAAAGGGAGCGAGAAAGAGAACGAGAGAAGGAAAGGGAGCGAGAACGAGAGAAGCAGAAACTGAAAGAGACAGAAAAAGAGAGAGATTCTGTTAAGGATAAAGAGAAGGGGAAACATGATGATGGAAGGAAAAAAGAAGCAGAAATTATTAAACAACTGAAGATTGAATTGAAGTAAGAGCAATATTTAGAGTGAACGGTTTTTGACCCAGACCCTGAAGTTCAGGCATCAGAAATGAAATGAAATGTTTAGTTGATGACTTGGCTAGTCTGATCTTTGTAATATTTTAGGTTTACCTGAAAGTATAATTAATGTGGTCTCAAGTCTTGATCAGCTGAACAGCTGTAAATGGCCTGCCTGGCTATTGTATAGTTTAATTGAGGTGTTAGGTTTCGGTAAACCCCTGGCCTTATTCTTCAGGTAATCAAATTAAGAGAAAGGATACCGTGTTGAAGTAACACACCTGAGAATTGCTGGAACTTAATTACTGCTCTTTCTGGGGTTTGGGCTGATTACTGGCATTAGTTGTAGTTTAAATTATACTAAGTGAAGTATATTTCTTTGTAATTGAACAATATCAGATCTGTTTGATGGTAAACTAGTTTTTATGTATGTCCGATCCTTTTAAGAGAGTTCTTAGGAAATCCAGTGAAACATTATTTTTATCATAACCTCACCTATTGCCCTTCTCCCTCAGAACCAGTAATTTCTAGTAGGACTGGTTACTTTTGGCTACGCGTTTTTTATAGTTGACTCTTCATTGATGTTTGGGGTTGAAAGGGACCACTGTGCTTCAAAATTCTTGTAACTCGAGCGTAGTTAAATGGTTTAATAGCTTAGTAAGACAGAAACACTATTCTTCAAATGATGTCTAAGCAATCAGCCATACTAATATTAACAGTATATTTTGAAGGTCGGGGATTTAGCTCAGTGGTTCTGGTGCCTGCCTCACAAGCACAAGGACCCAAGTTCGATCCCTGGTACAAAAAAAACAAACAAAAAAAACCCAGTATATTTTGAGCTTCCATATTTTTCCCTTTTTTTCTTCTTAATCTCTGTAAGGTAAACATTTTTCTTTCAAATGTCAGAATTGTCTGAGTGCCTTATTTAAATATATACCTGGTCCCCTTTCCACACCTATGTAATCTCAATTTCTAAGAGATTAGAATTTTGCCTATGTCATAATATATATTTGTTTTTTACAACTTTATTTTATTTTTTAATTTATTTATTTATTTTTTGGTACCGGGGATTGAACTTGGGTCCTTGCGCTTGCAAGGCAGGACACTGAACCACTGAGCTAAATCCCTGGGCCTGTTTACAACTTTATGTTAGAGACCTAAAGCAAGAAATGATTCATTCATACAGTTTACTCTTTTTATTTTCTGAATATATCCAGAAGTCTGTTGATGGTCTGTACAAAATTTTGCCTTTTAGGTACAACAGAGAATTAAAAAACTTTTAAAATATTCTGCTCAATTCAGAATTCTTCTGCTCTGATGCTCTTTATTTTCTCATTCTATTATTCCCCTCCTTCTGCAACCCCTGTTGTAGGAAGGCACAAGAGAGCCAAAAGGAGATGAAACTATTGCTAGATATGTACCGCTCTGCCCCAAAGGAACAGAGGGACAAAGTTCAGTTAATGGCGGCTGAGAAGAAGTCTAAAGCAGAGGTAATCTAGTCAATTGTTACCTGTCATTTTGATGAAAATCTTAATTTATGGGGTTTTCTTCATACTTGTTGAGGATATAGCTACTTTTTTTATTTTTAAAGTTAGTGGTTTAATTTAGCAACATTTTCTAGCCAAAGACCATCTAAAGCAGATCTTTAGATTTTCTGCAAGGTAGTAAGATACATCAGAATTACTGGGAACAGGAGTAGGTTTTTAAACATTTTATTTCCTACTTTACCTATATAAATAATTACTATAGTGGTTCTTTTTATCTGATTACTTTGGAGAAGTATCTTGTACTTTTAGAATTTTGAGACATTGCAAAAAGGGTTGAAATCTATTGTAATGAAAGGTATAGATGTAGTCCTCAAAAATGGTGCTCATAGAAACATAAAATGTAGGAATGAAGTATGTTAAAACAGTGTTGTAATGTGGTGTATTCTATTATTTATCATGAATGCACCATTTATCTTGTGCTGTAATTTCATCCATGCTCTTTTGGTATTATAGGCCCTCTATGATACACAGTATTCACTGATACTTGAAGAAGTTTCATTTATTTTTTATATGATTCTCTTCCTCCTGTAGTTGGAAGATCTAAGGCAAAGACTCAAGGATCTAGAGGAGAAGGAGAAAAAAGAAAACAGGAAGATGGCTGATGAGGAGGCCTTACGGAAGATACGGGCAGTGGAGGAGCAGATTGAGTACCTGCAGAAGAAGCTGGCCATGGCCAAGCAGGCAGGCACACTTTGTTCTTTTAATGTTACTAGACATTTAACTTACTGCCAGTGAAATTTGCTAGTTTTTTTGTCTTTTTTGTTAATATTTTTCATCCTTTTTAAAAAATTTTGTGTATTCATTAAAGTCTTTTTTATCCTTCCATTGTTTTGAGTATTTGGGAGGTAGGAAATTAATTTTTATTTTTAAATGGATAGACAGTTGTTCAGACATTGTTTATCAAGGATCTGGTCTTTCTTAGCTGGTCTAAGGAATGAGGGCATATAGTGACTATAAGGTGAAAAATGATATGATTTTATACACATGATTATAGATATGTGAAACTTAAGAAAACTTAGAAATAATAACTAATGTGCTAACTATGGTTGTTCTTGGGTCATAAACTTTAGAAACTATCTTCCTTCTCATGATGAGCATGTAATTCTTGAAGTCCCAGTGAATTTTTGTTAACATTCAATAATAAAGATACCCCAAACAATTGGAAAATCCACAGATAGGTTCACTGTTAGTAGCACCTGCACTGTTTCTAGGAAATAGCAAAATGGTAACGAGATAAAGTAGTTGAAGGGTAACTTGATCATTAAGTGTTTTGAAAAGAGGAGCTTCCATTAGATCCTGTGCACATAAATTTTGTAAAAAGTAGAATTTTGGCTTTTTAAAAATCTGATCTTGTATACTTTCCCTCTTTTTAAAATATATGTTGTCAGGAAATTGTACCACTACAGGAAAGATTAGGCTAGGATTATTCTCTATTTTGAAAATGTCAGTGCTTAAATTAGTGTATAAATTTATTCTGATTCCAATAAAAGTACAATTTTTTGTTTTATAATGTATTTGTTTATTTTGGTACTAAACTGATTTTAAAGTATATATGGAAAAGTAAATAATGATGAGGAAAACTGAAAAAAAACTACTAAAAACTGACAATGGGATCTTTTGCAGTTACTAAAACATAAAATTTCATAAGGTAAAATAGCTTGCAACTACTGCACAGACTTTTGAGATTGAGGAGATAGTTCAGAAATAGATTAAAGTATTCATGGATATTTATTTTACATTAGCATAGTTTTAAATCAGAGGAAGACTTAAATGTGTTGGACAAAAATAAAAAAGGAATATTGGAAAAAAGTTGGATACATATTAGAACACTACGCTAGGATGATTTCCAAATGAAGTATAGATATATTAAAAAGATGAATATATCAAAGAGTGAAATGAAAATAGGTAAATTCCTTTCTAAATTTGAAGTGGAGAAGACCTTTCCAGTTATTAGTAAAAGACTAGGTGTACATATTATGTGTTACACACATATACTAATAAACTAAAATTTTAAGAATGAGAAAACATGAAAAAAAGATTGCTAATTTTGAGATATCAATAAAAAGCAAAACACCGGCTGCCTTGCAAGTGCAAGGTCCCAAGTTTGATCTCCAGCATCAAAAAAAAAAAAAAAAAAAAGCCAAAAACTTTTATATGGCAAAAGCACTGTTAAAGTGTCAATAGATTTAAAGACAAAAAGGAAGAAACACTTATTTAAACTGTTGTCACCAAAGGGTTTATCTTCCTAATATATTTCTTAAAATTCTGAAAAATGATAGGGAAAAACAACAACCACCTGATAGAAGAACAGGCAAAAATATGAATGGTTCACGGAAGAGATTTCCAATCACCCTTTTATTTTTATTTGTATTTATTTATTTTCCAATATTGGCCATTGAACTTAGGACCTTGTACTTGCCAGGCAGGCACGGCCACACTGAGCTAAATCCCCTGCTCTTTAAATCACTTTTAAACATAAAAAGACACTCAGTCTTTAGAATTATAAATTATAGCTGTTGTTAGATGCCATTTGTCACCTATCAGATTATTATGAAACTTAGAATCTTTACAACCATTGGACAGTCTATAGATTAAAGTCAGTATCAGAATTGTTGAAAAGTGTGAGAATATATGAGGCTTCATGATAGAAGTTCTCTCAGCTGCTTCTTGATCAGTTTTTTAAATTGATGTATGTATAATGCTTGTTTGCTTTAGCTGGCTTTAAGCACAGATCAACTAATGAGTATCAGCTCAATAATTGGTATCAGTTAACTTCAAATAATAGACCTCTTCTGTCATCTAAAAGCTATCCTAGTAACAATATTAAGCTTTTTATTCAAAGTTTCTTGAACTAATCTCTCTCTGTCGCTAATTTAATTTATATATGAACAAACCATGGGAAGGTTTTTCTTATTCTCATTCCTTGGAGTTAGAAGATGATGCTAATTAGATTCCCATTTTAGGAGGAAGAAGCTCTCCTCTCTGAGATGGATGTCACGGGCCAGGCCTTTGAAGACATGCAGGAACAAAATATCCGCTTGATGCAGCAGTTGAGGGAGAAGGATGATGCGAATTTTAAGCTCATGTCAGAGCGTATCAAGTCTAATCAGATCCATAAGCTGCTGAAAGAAGAGAAGGAGGAGCTGGCAGACCAAGTTTTGACTCTGAAGACTCAGGTATTTAGGATGAGTAGAGCTTTCTATTCTTTGGGAAAACAAAACACAATGGTAGGAATGAAAATACTGCAAACTAAAAGTTTGTCATTAAGGTCCTGGTAAATAAATTCTCCATCCCTGAAAAGGAGTACAGTGTAGTCCTTATAGCCCCTGTGGATTTGCTAATGCAGAAACAAATGTCCAAAATGTATCAAGTGATTTGTGTCCCTTTTGTGTATTAAAGCTTTTGTGTGTAGATTTTAACAGATTTTAACGATTTCTGAAAGGCTGCAAGAAAACTGTAAGAGTGGGTGGTTATCTGGATGTTGGGATGAGAGTTTGTGAGTGAAGGGTTAGGAAGTAGATATATAATTTTACTTTTTAGTCTTTAATGTCGGTTCTACTTGCTGCATAAATTTTAAGAAAAAAGACAATTTTAGAACTTCTAGCCATTATAAAAGAGACACACTTGGACTTTTTTGTTTGTTTTTTGAAGCAGGTTTTCCCTTTGTAGTTCAGGCTGGCCCTGAACTCACTATGTAGCCCAGACTGACATTGAACTCACAGAGATCTTCCTGTTTCAGCTTCCTGAGTGCTGGGATTACAGGCATGCACCACCACGCCCAGCAGACACACTTGGACTTTTTTTGAGTAGAAATTTATATGTTCCAGTAGGAGTTGTCAAGTTTTTTTTTTTTTTTTTTGTGGTACCAGTGATTGAACTCAGGTCCTTGCGCTTGTGAGGCAGGCCACCGAACCGCTGAGCTAAATCCCCAGCCAGGAGTTGTCAAGTTTTGAGAATTAGTATGTCTACAGAAGATGCTATAAGTAAATGTCCTATTCTTGGCAATTTGGAAAATATTCTTTTCGGTGATTTCCCTTATTCTTACTTGATTCTCCGTCTATATATTAATGTGTGAAGCCTTTAAAAATCATACTCTTTTGTGTATTTTGAAGGATTTGTGAATAGAACTCAGTAGTTTTGAGATTTCTAACATACTATATTTTGTGAGGATATAAATTAGCAGAGAATGGCCAATTTTATTTTATTTTCCTTTTTGTGTTAAAATCAACTCTCTCTTCTGAAGGTCGATGCCCAGTTACAAGTAGTAAGGAAACTGGAAGAGAAGGAGCACCTATTGCAGAGCAATATTGGCACAGGAGAGAAGGAGCTGGGCCTTAGGACCCAAGCTTTGGAGATGAACAAGCGCAAGGTATAGTAGACCACTCTGCATCTAAAGTGTTAGGCAGTCTTGAGGAGCAGATAAACATGACATAGATGATGTTTTCAACTTACTCGTTCCTTAAACTTGGGTTAACATTTTGCCTTGCTAGAAATAAAGGGTGACGGGATGGTGTTATTTGTACACCACACGTAGGCAATGGAGGCAGCTCAGCTTGCAGATGACCTCAAAGCCCAGCTGGAATTGGCTCAGAAGAAGCTACATGATTTTCAGGATGAGATTGTGGAGAACAGTGTCACCAAAGAAAAGGACATGTTCAATTTCAAACGAGCCCAAGTAAGAGTGGTTCTCTTTTTCTTTACATTTCACCTCCATGTGATGAGTCATTAGTATAATGCATATCCTTTCTTATTAGACTATGAGTTTGCTTGGGATTGATTGGTTACTTGTTCTGTTTTCTTCAATGGTATATCCCTAAAACCTATTGTAGTGCCTACTATATAGTAGGCATGAAATAAATATTAAGTGTGTGAATTATTGAATTATTAGCATAAACAACATTAGAAAATTTAAAAATACTTCTGTACGTTTTCTATTTTTTGTCATGTCATTGTTTATGATGCCTTTCTATTCTTACTCATAAATCTTCAAATTATTGTTATCCCAGTCTACTCTTACCTTAAAACTAGTCACCATAAAATAAAGTGACCTGTCTTTTAAATTCTTAGATTGTGCTTTCACAGGCCTGAATTGGCAGTAAGGTGGTGCAATTCTGGTTTACGGATAAGATTGGTTACTTGTCATTTTGAAACAAAAAAACATAATGTACAATTCTCTGCATTCCTAAAGATAATTGGAAAATCCTTTCCTTCCACAACAGAAATATCATGTAGGGAAAGAGTCTGTAATTGATCTACTATTTTGCCACAGGAAGACATCTCTAGACTTCGAAGGAAGTTGGAGACCACAAAGAAACCAGATAATGTACCCAAATGTGATGAGATTCTGATGGAGGAGATTAAGGATTACAAGGTTAGAAAAACTACCTCAGTAATTTCTTTGTGGGTTCTGTCAAGGCCCAAAGTGGTCTGCTAATATATTGGGCGAAGGAACACTGAATTTCTGTACATGGTTACCAGAGAATGGTTTATTTTGAAGGGCGAAGTAGTGTTCTTGTTTTAGTGCTTGTTTTCTTGTTACTTATTTCATTTTACAGTGGCACTTTGGTGCAAACTCTGCATCAGGTGACAAACATGACTATTGCCATCTTTCCCATATAAACACATATGTGGCTGTCTTTTCCAGAATTGTGGAATGAATTAAGTTCGTGAACTGAGATATCACTGTATGTGACACTACTTAATTTGTTAACCTGTATGATCGCTCAGTCTCAGACATCTTTCTTTGTTTTAGGCACGTTTGACCTGTCCATGCTGCAACATGCGTAAAAAGGATGCTGTGCTTACCAAGTGTTTTCACGTTTTTTGTTTTGAATGTGTGAAGACGCGCTATGATACCCGTCAGCGCAAATGTCCCAAGTGTAATGCTGCTTTTGGTGCCAATGATTTCCACCGCATCTACATTGGTTGATCCAAGCCAAGAGAAGAAGAAGAGCTGGCCAGACAGGCACTTGTTCATTAGCCACCAAACCTCCACCTCTTCTTTCAATTCTCTTTCCTTCTCAGGCTTCACATCCAGGTTCTCCTTTCTAGTAGCAAGTTGAATTTAGGGAAGAGGGACTGGTAGATATAAGTCTGGGATTTTAGAATGAATTAGAAACAAACTCGTATTTGTCTTTACTACCAGCTTTGTTTATATCCTGCTTTGAGACTAAACATGCTTTTTGTTTGGGTCCATCATTTAATCTTGGGTTGTCCACTCCTGAGAAAACAAGTTGATATTTTTGACATAAGGAACAAAGAGGACAAATGTGCTATTAGGGGAATGGGAATGACCTTTTGGAAATAAGCTATCTGTGGGTGCAAACTTTTCTTGTTTTGGGTAGTAAAATTTTTCAAAACTTGAATTATAAAATGATACAGTTTTGCTCCTCTTTCCTGAATTGTTTGAAGCCTTAATGAAATTATATCCAGGATAATTCAATCTTATTTCTCATATACTAGCAAAGTAACTTTTAAGGTCAGCTGGCTTTCTGCTAAAGTTATTTAAATTTTTAATCATTAGCTACTTAAAAGTTTAAATTTTTGAGGCCGGAATAATTTCAAACTATTACAGCCCCTTTTGTCTTCTGATGAAATAAAAATTGGGATGAGGAACAGGATTGAGATAGTGAAGAGAACTTCTGGGTACTCTGGGAAATTAAAACAGAAAGGTGTGGGTGAGCTGAGAATTACTCCTATCCTCCTTTCTGCAGGGATGGTTGTGATCCCTATTTTCCAGAAGATTCTCAGTGTTTTTGTAGGACTTTATACTCCACAAGCTTCAATTAAAGCAGGATTTAATTTTCTTTTGTGTTGGTGATTTTTAAACATTTTTTGTTATTACTAGTTAATTTTATACTTTCTGTTCTAGAAATGAATTCTCGTAAACAGAAGTGATCATCTTGGATTAAGAGGCTGACTGTGTTTAAATTATTTAGTTCTCTGCTTAAATGAAGTAGTTTCTTCAGCTGTTTGAATGAGTCTGTCCTGAGGAGAGAGAATGCCTACAAGATGATGGTTTGACTACTGAATTCTTTTCCATAGTTAATCATGGTGGAGAAGAGTCAGTAGTTTGTTTTTTAGGGAATATATCACTGCCTGGCACTTTTAGGTTGAGGGTTCTTGAAGTACTAGTTTTATAATAACCAGTAAGCCAAAAACTTCTCTCTGATATTGGATCACAGAAAGTAGATCCCTGTTGATCCCCACCTTTTGTTCTTTTGTACTTGTCAGCTGTAATCAGTAAGACTTGTGATGACTTTCATAAAGTCATATGGTGTGGGCTAAGAAATGAGTCTAATTGGGACACAAATACACAAACACACCTCTCCAGTGGGATGAAGACCCGGCTCCTAGACACGTGGGGCATTTGCATTTACTAATGGGCGACTTTCTCCTTGCTGCTTGCTTTTCTTACAGAGGAACCTTGAGTATAACTTTGTTGATTGAGGGACAAATGGACTACTTGGGCAGCATATAGTTTGGGTGTAGATATTAATTTATGACAATTAGCTAGAAAGCCAGCTGCCCAGCACCAGGAGATTGTGGGTTTGTGGAATGTTGTGAAGGAAAACACATCCTAGGGGAGGCTAGTTTTCAGGGAAACTCCTCTAGTGGAGAAGTTGAGATCCAAGTGACAGCAGTCAAAGTAATTTCAGATAACGACCAAGAAAGGGTGACTTTCCTTTGGTAATCTAGTTTCTCGTGACTATAGAAATAGTCAGTGAATGAGCTATTATGTATTACCAAATTTCATTTGGGTTGTATGTATATTAGTTTTTACTTTTTCAGATTCTTAAAGAAATTTGGAACATTCACAGTCTCCCAAAAATTAGAAACCACAGCTATAGATACATCTGAACTTTAAAGAGATTTCTTCAAGTAATACCTACAAATGTCAGTTTCAGTGATTGTTATAGAAGTACTATAGGCTTATTAAACATTTCATATCTTGTAGGAATTGTTTCTTTAAAGTTTTTCCTTTTTTTTGTTATCCTGGAAATTTCTCAGCAGTTTTGATGAAAATCATGTTTGCTGTATCTGAAGCATGCATCTTAACTACGTGGCCTAGCTCTTTTTACTTACTATAGGGACTTTTTTCAAAGGTTTTAAGCTGTTTCTGCTAGCTGTTAAATTCATGATGAATTTTTATTGGATTCCTTGTTTTATTCTTTGTCTAGATCCACAGGCATCGTTACTCTTCAAGGGTAAAAGTTCTGTGCTTACAGAATGATGTGCATGCCTCAGGAGCAATGAATGTGACTTGATATTGTGACAATGAAATGATCATCTGTCTTTTAGACTTACTGGGATGGTCTTACAGGACACTATATGATAATCTCTGTTCCCAGTGTCATTTGCTAGCATGGAATGCCCTTAAATTTTGTTCCTTAAGGATTTTTCTGAGGGTAAACTGAAATTGACAGATAAACTCAAGTCCCAGTTGATCTACAGGAACATTTTGGCTAGTTACTATGAACGAAGTCTTCCTGAGTGACTTGCAGAGCTAACTTCAGATGTTTCCACTGAGAGTAAGCAGAACCTTGGTGGCTGGTGTGGAGGTTGGAATAACACATATATACAGGAAATACCTGGTATAGAAATACTCAAAAATTCCTAGATCTTAAGTTTTGGAAACACCTGATTGTCCCTTCACAAAGAAATATTGAGCTTTACCTCTGGGGATTTCTGACCAAGTTTGGTCTCTTCCTAACCTTAGCAAATAAGGTCTTATTGATAGCATACTTAATGATTACTAAAATTTTGCTTTTGAAAGAATGTTTTAAAAATCTCATTCCCCAAATCTAGCAAGGGCAAATGGTATTCAATGAATATTCATATGATTTGAGTTCATTCAACCTCATTCTGTTGCCACGTCTTCAGGAATCTCCTTTTTTGGGTCAATTTGTGAATGCAAATCTTACTGCTCATTTGTTTTTCATCCCCTAAGTGGAAACGGTCTTTCTTCGTATGTGGAAGTTATTTTTCAAATTTTGAGTTATCCTAATATTTATGACTGTATTTTAAATTTCTTTATGATTGCAGGAAAAGGAATTATGAATTCTGAAACTGTCTCCTCTGTAGAGATAACCCATAACAGCCAGATCTCTTATTGTAAGTTTTTGAACCTTATTGTAGGGAATGGAACCCTGAGCCTCACACGTTAAGCAAGTGCTGTACCACTGAGTTTCATCCCCAGCTTTTTTAATTTCTTTTTTTAATTTAAATAAGGAGAGTTCTTTCATATGGAAAGTGCTACTACAATCACGTATTTGAAAGGAGAAACAACAGGTACTGAACTGGAGGGAAGGGAGAGTGAGCGTCCAGCACAGCCAGGTGAATCCATGATTCCATTTCCCATCTGTGAAGCTGCAAGAGGCCCCCTCCGCCACCTCCAGATGAAGCGAACTGGAGCAGTCAAGCCTGGGGCAGTCAAAGTGGAGGACAGTAAAGCCTGATGGTGCCTGGCTACCGCCTTGCCTCACCCTAACAGGGACAGTGCCACCACCCGGCCTGGACGGGACAGCCACACTTGGGAACCACACAGATCCACTATGCCTGGCCTGGAATGAGAGTTCCTTCTCCGCCATCCCCAGCTTTTATTTAGGTTTTTTGAGAAGTAAACAAAATGTGAAGAGTAGTATGTTCATAATAACGATATGCTTGGAGGACTCCAAGATGATAAATATAGAGTAGCATGGCTTGAAAGGTAGGATGTGAGAGCTGAAAAGAACCTCAGACCACATCCTTATGTTAGAGATGAGGAAATAGGCCCCAGGGTTATTCAGTTAAGGCACAGAATTATTGGAGACTTATACCAATAGTGTTTGTCATCAGGAAGATAAGAAGTAAATATATTTTCTGAGTAATTTTAAAGTCTTTGTGAATACTTACAGAAATATCTAGTATTTTTATCCTGATAATTCAGATGTAAGTAAGCAGACCTTGGGTAAGTACTGCTTTTTGTTGCCATGTCTATTAAGAGTTCCAGTAGCACACCTGTGCTTTTATGAGATTAAGTATGTAAGATATATTCAGTACAGTGCCTGGTATTTATTATGTGCTTAACAATCAAATTGAGAGGTTAATTTTTCTTTCTACTTACATTTTTTTTCTGATTTCTAGGAAAGTAAGTCTTCTATCCTCCCTGAAATCTGGGCCACCTATTTTTTTGTTTTAGGACACATATTTTTATCTATGCTTATTTACTTCTAGTATGTCTGGCTGGTTAAATGATGTCATGGCTGACTCTTTCCACAACATCAAAAAGTTAACTGGTTTCTGTTAATTTAGAAACAGATGTCATGTGAATGACAGCCACAGCTACCTAGTGGTGAGGGTCCTGTTTTTTAGTATGTCCCTCTTCGGCTTAAAATTCTTGAACATAAAGTTCCTGTAGTCTTCCAGGTACAAATTGGATTTAGCACAGTTATCTTCTCCTTTTCTCTTTCCATTTCTTAAGCTTGTCGTCTACTTTGTGCCTATGTTTCTGTCACTTTTGAACTGTTTAAGGTTCCCAGTTCTCTGATTGCCATGATTTCCCTACTCTGGAACTTTGCACATGTTGTTTCTTTCGTTTGAGAGGCCTGTTCCCCTCCACTCAATCTCCAAGTGCGTTCACACACAAACACATGCACACGCACGTGCACACACACAGTCTTCTTTGTTCCCACAGTAATTGATGTACATTTATCTAGTCAGTGAACCTAAATTGTGTTACCAGTATGTGTCCCTCCATTAGATTGAGCTCCATGGGACCGTGAGACCAGGATCTGCTTTTAATTTATCTGTCGAGAACAACTAGCCCAATGCTTGGCTCACAGTAGGCATCCAAAAACCAGTAGTTGAATGATGCAGCTTTGGGTAAGTTGATAGGTTTATATTCTTTATGAGATTTGACTTTTCAAAAGAACACATGTGAAGAATAAATCAGGCTAGCAGATTCCATGGTAAGTGTGCCAGCAGTGAAAACTGTCTGGACTATCAGACCTGAAACTGCTGAGTGATTTGTGCCTGTGTTCCACTTCTTGGTTGGGCTAGAAAGCAGAATTGATGCTGAACACTATTTGTGAGACTTAAGGGGCTATAGTGAAAATGAGTGGATTGATGCAAGAGCAGTTATATCAGCTTGTCTGTTGTGTCTGTCATATAGAACTGGGGGCCAGGCTGAGGCAAGGGACTAGGTAGTAAGAGGAATTAGAGGAGGAGGAGGAGGAGGAGGAGGAGGAGGGAGGCAATGATCAGAATCCTAACAATACTGTATAGTCACACTGCGTATGAATTTCTTGCAGTGACTGTTACTGGCTGTGACTTCAGGCAGGTTAGGTAATTTCTCTGACTTGGCGTTTTTCCATCTGTAAACTAGAGGTCTCATTTGCCTCTTCTAGAGTATATCTGACTTACCTGTCTAATGAGGCTGATTTAAATTTTTAAATGAGATCATAGTTTGTAGTAAGTGCCCAATAAATGTTATCTATTACTGTTTTGAGATTGTGAAAAGATAAGACTGTGAACAGGTCTCAAGGAAACTATACCTTCCTTGTTCGTTATTGTTTCTCTAGTATTTGGCATGTACACAAACTAACATGTTTGTTGAATTACTCAATGAGGACATCAAGACAGAGTTTTTAGAGGTCTATAGATATGTTTTTACCTAGAATATTCTCAGATGAAGCACTTCAGTTCTGTTTCATGATACTTGGGCTGAGTTTTCTGAGAATATCTTGCTCTACTTCTTTAGATTATACCAAGGAAACAGATAAATGATAGTATTAATGTGTGTCTTGTACAAAGAAGCTGATATCTTGGCAGCATTTGGATCCCCAAAGAATGCCAGCAGGACATCTGTAGGTGAAGTTTCTGTCTGAACATTTATTCCACAGTCATAGAAACTGAAGATGGAAAAGACCTGAGGACGTTTAGTCCATCCACACAGTTGTACGAGAAAAGTGGCTGGAGCAAAGCAGCCCATTTACTTCATGCTCACAAGACAGCATTTCAGTTCTTGGAGCGGAGCGATTGCAAACACACTAAAATGAAGACACAATGCAAATACTCTTCACAAACCTTAAGAAAATCCTTATAAATACATTATTTTCATAAAATGATCAGTGACAAAAAGAAGAGTAAGGGAATTCTGGAGTGGGTGGATGGATTAGGTGAGTGAGGAAAGGAGTAACTAAATAGCAGGTGGTGAAATAGTTTTAACTAGAAAGCAATTTCTTCTGAAGACTAGATTTTCTGGTTGTCAAAATATGGAGGAAAAGAGGGTCAAAAGTAGTTCTTTCCCATTATTTTCTGTTCCGAGGAAGTGCATAACTTGCTCCAAGGCTCTAATGGACCCAGCACTGACAAGTCTATCACCCAGACGATATAGCTCTGTTGTGCCTGGTTCTTGCTCCACTTGCCACTTTTTGGGTTGAGCTGTATGGGAAGCGACAGCTCCCTGAAGTTTGTGCAACAACAAGATTCATGAATAATGGAGTCACCTCCAGGCACATTAAAAACTTTTAACTTATCACGTCCCTGTGGCTGCCGTACTTGGCCATCCCAGTCTTCTAACATTTCTGTTGGAGGAGTCTCCTTCCCCTTTATCTCTGGCGTGTATACTTTGGGACCCTTATTCTTACTTACATGGACTAACTAGCCCTATGTGTTCCAGCTTACTCATTTGTCCTCTGGTGGCGGACAGTTTGTCATATTTCAGGTTTCCCGATACCAGAGTATAAAAGGGAATGGAGACCTTCCTGATCTCATGAAATGGGAGCCCACTTGCGGGGTGGGCAAGAGCACCCTTAGCTCTTTGTAATTTGCCAAAATACAACCCTCCAGTTTTTTGTTTGTTTGTTTTTTTAACCTGAGGAGGGGAGTTGAGTGAACCAAGGTGGAGCAGAACAGAAAAGGGGTTTTCAGGGACCCACCCTTTCGTGACATCTTTTTACAAAACACAACACACTGTTTCACAAATTGTAAAACTGTTCCACAAATTGTAAAACTGTTCAATTACTACCATTGAAAAAAACCATTGTTACTTAACATGAAGACTGCTTCATTTCACCACAAGTGATTATGGTTTTTCTTTATCCAGGACATGGAAGTATTTCAAGCAGTGTTGGCAGCAGTAAGGCTGCCTTCAGCCCGTGCTGCTGCTTGGTGCATCTTGGCCACTGTTTTGGCTGGGTAGTTCCTCAGAAGATACTTGAGGAGCATGCACTGGTCTTTGACTCTGGATAGGCAGGGCAGTCTGGCATCTGATTCCCACTGCTCAGAATGCCTCAGTAGAGAAGCTTAAGGTAAACCCAATATACAAAAATCCACTTACAAAACGGGTACATTAAGGAATAATTACATTACAAAAGGGATCTATACTTTACAAAAAAATTCACCTCTGGGTTCCCTTAAATAGCTAGCTTCTCAAGTACAGTCAGAATATGAATTGAGTTATAAAAATGTCCATGTAATGTAATAGGAGCATGGCTATTGTGGATTGAGGTACACCTGTACAAAAGCCTTCTGTGCTGTGCTGACACCCAGGGGTGCTCAGAGCAGAGTGGCAGTCTCTAGTTGCAGATGGGTGGTGTCAGGATTCATCTCCCACAGGCAGCTGTAAATCTACTTTGGGGCCTGGGGTGAGAACAGGCTTTCAAAGTGATCTGTCCTTTTTTTGTTTTTAGGGTGGGCTCAGCTGTTTTCTGCCATTGTTGAACTGGTTGATGGGGAGGTTGTTGAAGCTTAACTTTAGAGCCCGCATACTTCCCTTATGAGCATTTCTGAGCTTACCTTCACTCCTTGGTTTTCTCAGTCAATTATTTGCTAGGTTGTTATCTGAAGCTTAAAGGGTTATCCTTCCCTGGGTAGCTCTGGGTAGAAATGCAGACGTATTCTGAAGTTAAGAAAGAAACTGTGATTGAGACACCTTTCTAATGATCTGCGCGCTGCTTGGCTCAGTACTGTGAACTCACTGCAAATGTTTTCAAAATGGGTACAGAAATGAGTGTTGAGAGGATAAAGCAATAATTAATAAACAAGGAAATTTAGTCCTAATTGGTGTCCTGGAGTTATGGGGGTTGGTGTTTAGAAAGTGAATCAGCATATGTCTGCTGAAGTTTAAACAATTTCCTCCTCTCTGTGCTATGCACAAGCCTCCCCCCCACCCGCTTTCTTCCTCACATCTTCCTATGCTTGGGCGCAACCAAACCCAGAGCAGTGTTTCTCCAGTAGTAATTTTAGGATGCCCTGTGGTTTTCATGGCGGTGTTGGTTAATGGTAGGTTCCGAGACCCTCACCAGCTTCTTGTCCTATAATCTCTGTGAAAGGCTCCTGGCAATCAGAACTCTGATGAGTCTCCTAAATAACTTAAATATGTTAATCTTTAGGAGCAGAGGTTCTGAAGTTCCCAATATTCTTTCTGCTTACCTAAGCAGTTGTACATTGGGAAAAGGGTTTCTAGGCAGAAGGGAAGTTACTTACACCAGTCTTCTGTGGGCATTAGATGGATCCTGGAGGATAACAAGAGAAGCCAAAACCTGTACGTAACTCCTCAGAGATGAGTGGGTGTGAGGAGAGGAGACTGAGTTTGTGATTACTATACAGGTGTGAAAAGCACAGGGCAGACTCCTGAATGTTGAAACTTGTGATGTGAGAAGGCTTAAGATTCACTTTTGGGATCCTATGGCTAATAGATGACTGCTAATCAGAAAATGACCTAGTATGTGGCATGCAGAATACTTAACCCATAGTGCCAGCTCTCCTACCCTGTTATAGGTATTTAACAGGAACGTTCCAGCTTCATCCTGTGGCCACAACCTCACTTTGCTTTTAAAAAGGCACACACAATAGTGGGGATGCTTAGCTAGATTACAAATGTAGTCCTATTAGTTGCTTAGCCAAGTTGCCTTTCTGGCCCAAAAGTTTTCTTCTAAAAGTGTGGGGATGCATTTATAAACTCTCTTCTGCCTGACCTCTGCTCTCAGTCACCACATCCCTGTCCTCTTTCATAACAGTGTGTAAACATGTCCCTACTGTTAGGATGGGGCCAGAGGTCATTTTTTTCAGGAACGTCCCTTTTCTCTGATCCAGTCAATTCTTGCACACAGTGATTCTAAGTTCAGTTAATTTTTAGGTATCCCCTCTCCCCTAAGTTTCTCTAGCAGTTAGCTGGCTCCCCACTCAGAATGTAGAACAAATCTATCTTGGGGAATTGTGTGTAATTAATAACCCTGGATAATCCTATTCTATATTAAGGTTAGGACCAACAACCTAGTAAGACATAGGTATAAATAACATTTTATCTCTTGTTGTTAATAGTGCAGAGAAAGGGCTGGTTAAAAACCAGAAATATTACTGTGGCACCTGGTGAAAAAATTAACAGGACCTGGGGTTGTCTGGTTGTTCACAGATTCCTTACATGGAATTTACTTCTGACCAACTTCAGACTCCTGCTGTGAAAAGATTCCTACCCTGGAGACGTAGGGGCTGAGCTTGGGAAGAGCTGCTGCTTCGGGGTAGGTTGGGGGAATAGACTTGACTTCCACCTCAGCTTCCCCACACCTTTGTCAGTCATTGCAAAAGAGCATTACAAAGTGTCTCAAGGGCTCAGGAATGCCAGGAGCTGAGAACAGGGAGCAGTGTGATTGCTTAGGACTCACAAGTCCGATTTGTCCTTTGATACTCCTCCAGCTCCGTTTTCCTGCTCACAGCCAACTGCAGCTCCTGGCGGATCACTTGAATCTGCTTCTCCAGCTCTGAGAGTTCCTGCATCACTGAGTTCCGGGCTAGGTTGAGGGAGTCTGCTTTCCCATTGGAGGAAGGGAGTTCTCTTCTTGGCGGGAGAGGGATGTCTTGGTGGGTCTGGATGCTCAGCTGGTTTTGCTCTCCCTCATCACTGAAGATGTGTTTTTGTTGATTGTCATGACTCAGATTGGAAGTATTCCATACCATGAGCTGACAGGGTCCCATGTTGGTCCTAGGAAACAGAGAGTCAGTTCAGATTCACATTCCATTCTGCAGCTTTCAAAGTGCTGTTCTCCATTGGTGGGCTACTTTTTGCAGGAACAGTGTGGAACTGGGAATGCACTTAGAGATGAAGTCACCAAACCACAGACAGATTGCCTCCTAGAATGTCATAGACACAGTAGATACCATAAACTCTGAACTGAAGTCCAGCCTCATGCTGCTTTGAAACTGGATTAGTATCATCTGATACAATGGCTCTGGCAATCTCCTTTGAGAGGAACCTTGGATGACTTTTTATTCCCTTCAGGCAAAGATTAGAAAGCAGCACTGCCTTGAAACTTTCTTTAACTGTAAATAGGATGCTGTAGTAAGAGTGAAAAGCAGGTTTATTCAAATATTGTACTCAGCATCAGTCTGCAGATGGATATTACTATATATAGCTCATGTTTAATTCTACCAGGACTTGCTGATAATCACTACTCGATTTTGGGAAGAATAAAGGTATATAAGCCACAGGTTTCAGCAATGTCTTTTTCAGTAAAGGAATGACTTTATGTGGGTTGAAAACAACAAGTCAGTTCTGATGTTTAAAAAAAAAAAAAAAAAACCCTCAAAAGTCCACAGCTTCTTGCTGGGATAATGAAAGTCAATTAGAAACAGGTTTGTAATCCTCTTTCAGGCTTGAATTGTACCACATACAATCATCATGGAGAAGGGGCTACAAACAGTAAGCAAGTCATTGCCAACATGGTACTAGATGAATTGATTTTCTTTCTGAAATAAACTTTGTAAGTTGGATGTAATAAGAGTTTCTCACAAGAACAGATTAGAGCTCTAAGCAGTATAATTGCTGATTTTCTTCTACCCCATGAGAAGAAAAAAGAGGAGGGAGGACTCTGGTCACTTTACAGTTGACCACAGGGCAGCGCACACTAGAAACTCTATTAAATCTTTATATTTTTGTTGCCATCCATATAACTGAATTGACTTTATTCTTGGACCTTTCTTTGCCAGGAAGAGGAGGAGAACCTTGAACAGAGGCAATGGGACAGATAATAAGGTGATGCAGTTACATGGTTGGGAACAAACCACAAAGACTTACTAGGACAATTCTATTTTGCTTTCCCCTGTGGTAGATTGTAAAAGTGATCTAATCTTTCATTCTTCCTTTCACCTATGTCCCCCTATACTGTGAGTTTGCTGCTTATGTCTGTCAGGATGCAGAGCCTGATTACCCTCTCCTTGAATGAAGTCTGGTCTCATTCAGCCATTTCAGCAATAGAAAAGTTGGAAGTTCCAAGCCTGAGTTTTTAAGAAGCTGTATACGTTGCCATTCTCTCTCTGATCCCGGCTGCCACAATGTGAACAAGGCCCCTTTAGCTTGCTGATCATAGACCATGTGGAAAGTCCTCCATCTTCCCAGTTGACCCAGCTGAGGCTATCAGACTAGATAGCCTTTAGCTTCTTCCCACCACCTTATCAAGCTGGCTGCGGACATAAGAGCAAGCTCACCCAATTCAGCCAAGTTGGCTCAGACCTGCAAACTGCACAGCTGATTCATGGATTCATAAGCGCCCACTGTTGCTGCAAACACAAGTACTGGGATGATTTCTCTCACAGCAAAACAGCTGAAAATTTCTCTGGGCCACTAAAACACATGAACTACTATGTAGATCTTTAACATTTTTCTTAGTTTTTCTCCTATGAACAAGCAGAAGGCACCTGAATTCAGTTTTCCTATGTCCTGGGCTGGATAAAAAGTTCTATAATGAATCTACTTACAGCTCCACGTCAGACTAGAATTGGAGAGAAGATACAGTCTTAATTTTTCTTCCAGCCTTAGAGAGTTAATTTTCATGTTGAATAAATTAAGAACTATATATACACTCAAGAAAAAATTTCCATATATAGCTCAAATTTCTCCGTTTCTTTCCTCAAGCTCATTGTCAATACCTATCTGTACTTTCATTCAATAAATATGGGGTATAAGGGAAGATGTCAATTTGTAGCAGTCATGAGCAGTTATTTGCATAGATATTCTTCCAAGAAAAGAGGGAGAGAGCATTTTCAAGCCAGCACACATAACTAGTACCATAGAATGATGGTTGATAGTAGGGAAAACCTGGGATTAGAGGACCTACCCATTTTTTGGACTTTCCAGGCAACCCCAGGTGCTGGATTATAAGGAGGTGGACACAGGAAATATAGGCCCAAGATGCTAGTAACTCTCACTTATAATGGAAGAAAATGGGGTGAATAACATGATTCCTTTTCATTGTTTGTATCTCCTTTGGAACTGCCGCAGTCTCATTTCTCCAGGTTGAACAGACATTTGGGCTCTGAGTTGAGGTGATATAGAAGTAAGAATCATATCATATTTGGAAATAGGTTCATAGGGCTGCTGTTTATGCTCCTTTGTCCTTTATATTCTTGCTGGAAAACATACTTTATCACTGTAGATGATATATTTGCTATAGTATCTTTTTGTGTTCTAGTTAAAACTTATGTGAAAAATAATAATAGCCAAATGTAACATGATATGAAACAGCTGTGACCTGATTGGTCTACAGCTTGACACTAACTGATTTGCACAGCGATACCAGGATGCCACAGACAGAGGAGGCAGGGAGTCCCCACTGACTGGTAAGAGAGGCTTTAAGAGACAGAAATGATTCTGACAAGGTCTTTGCAACCCAGAGAGAAAGTAATGCAACAGCCCCAGAGGTGATATGAACAAGTAAGAAAAAAGTCATGTTGTCTGCTCTTTTTATTCTGTTGTGAATGAGATTGAAACCTATCTGAAGCCAAGCCTTGAGCTGAGGCTATGCTACAGATGGCTGAGTTACCACAACTGATGCCTCCTCTGAGGCCTCTGGGCTTCTGAAAGGACCAAGAGGGCTGCCTTAGGCAGTAGGCAACAGAGGCCACCAGGAACCAGACTAAAATGCTTTTGTCATCTTTAGTTATCATGAATGAGGCAGCTGCCATTCACAGGCTGGCTCTGGAGAAGGTATAAAGTATGAGTTTTCAAATGTCACTGATGCATTTAATGCATGCTATTTCCAATAAATGTATACTTTTCTAGGGATTTCTAAGTGTTGAGAAATTAGGCAGGACATGTTTATCACATATTTCAAATATTTCTAGGAGTGCTGGAAAGGGGTGGGGATTGGAAACGTGCAAAAAGACAGTATCCTAAAATTAATTGCAATACTTACAAAATATTGTTTTGTACATAGCAACAGCTAATATTTTTAAATACTTTTTCAGGATTTTCACATGTATTATCTCATTTAATTCATACACCCCTAGGAAGTGCCTCCCCCCCCCTTTTTCTTGTGGTACTGAGGTTTGAACCCAGGGTCTTTGCACTGAGTTATATCCCCAGCTCTTTATTTTTTACTTTGAGGCAAGGTTTTGCTAAGTTGTTAAGTTACCCAGGCTAGGTTTGCACTTTGTGATCCTCTTGCCTCAGCCTCCCAGAGTGCTGAATTACAATGTGCCCCCATGCCTGGACGTGGGTCCTATTTTATCTCAATTTCCCAGATGAGAAACTTGCAGCACAGAAAGGTTAAATAACTCGAAGACAACCCATATTATAGGTGCTGGAGACAGGATTGGGTATATGATGTTCCACTCCAGGGTCCACACTTGCACTTAAAGCTGTGAGATTATTTTGCTTTTGCTGCATTTCAGTGTCCATATATGTGTCTATATTTCTTTACTTTGTTCAGTCTGAAATTACATATATTCATATTGGTTTTATCAACAGACTGTCCTGATTTGATCTGAATCATTGTTTAGTCATAACTTCTCTTTTGCTCATGGAGTCTCAGCTACATTTCTAAACTTTTAGCAAATACAAAGATAGCTGGCATTGACCTCTTCTTACCTCTTTTCCACATGTTTGGTCTTGAAACGCTGCTGCTTTTCTTCTGTGTATGATGTATTTAATGCTCTATGAAATCTCTGGTGAGAATAACAGATTCACAGGTAGAGATCATTAGACACACAGGTCAGGGGACAAAGTACCAATTATGATTTAATGGAGTATCTAGTTGCTGCAAACCTTGGCCTCTTAACAGACTTCCAGGACTGTCTGATAATGGATCAGCAGTCAGCCCCTAATCTCTATAACGAGAGTTCTAAGTTGTTTTTTATGTGGCAGGAAAGCAAAGTGATATAGTAAAAGCTTATAAATGTGATACAAAGAAGCACTATCATAACTCATGCATAGCAGAAGTCTTTATGCAAGTGCTAGTGAAGAGAAAAAAATCTTAAGTGAATTTCTTAGTAACCAAGATGAAGGGAAGCAAACTCCTGGGAATTAAAGTAATTGTATTATCACAGAACAGAGAACATCACTTGTCTCCAGAGTTTTCCCAAGAGATGAAAATAGGAAGACTAGAATTTAGTTGTAGCTCAACTAACGAGTGTTACATTTCTGGGGGCGGGGAGAAGTACTGCATTAACAAAGGAAGGATGTCAGCCAGAGGACAGAGAGGGTAAAAGTGACAGAACTGCTGAGGGGAGACTCAGTGAGTTGGTGAGTGAGTGGGAGGTGGGAGGGATCCCTCCACAGGGAGGCCGGGTCAGCACTCCCACCTCACTGTCACTGTGGTCATTGCTGGAGTCCCTCGATCATGAGATACTTGAGTCCCTTTGGCTCTCTGCCATTTTCCTACAGGCAGACATGTAAACCAGTGTGCCTGAATGTTCAGTCTGTCAGCAGTTTTGCTTCTCTCTATAAATCCACCCATGTGTTGGTGCCTGGATTACGTGGAAGAACTGAGCTCCTGTGTGGCTTGTCTTTGGCACTACAGGGCCTCAAACTTTGGGGCCAGAGAAAAAGATGAGGCACAGTTAGAGTCACCTAAAGGGGAAATGGAAACTGCAAACTCATTTATTGGGTTTTAATTTTTAACTAAAATTTTTAAAGAATCTATGGGGAAAAGATTTTTTTCCCAGCAACTCTTCACTATTGCCACCATTAAGTGAAATCTGATTAAAAACAGTTCTAGTGTGTCTATTATGAGCAGTAGAGGAGGTTTATGGGAACAGAAGGGACATTGGGGTAACAAGAGGAAGGTGAATTCTGGGATAGAAGGAAATCCATCCTCTGAGAGTATGCCACCCTATTTCCTTGATAATGTGCCAAGAGAAGTCTCATAACTTGCTGTATAGATTGTCTCATTTGGAATCCTGAAGGGTGAGAATATTGGAGCAAGAGACTCGAGGCACTCACCTGACTGGTGTGGAGCCAGTATTGCAGTTTGGATTTGTTTTTGATTCGTGGTAGCAGCAGTCTGTACACTATGTGCTCACCAATGGTTGTCAAGATGGACAGACCAAATCCGATGCACAGAAGCACAAAGAGTCCAGAGAAATGTTTGATGCCCATTTGCAAAGTCTGTGACAAAATAGGAAAGTCTGTGAATGTGGTGACCCAAGTGGCCCAGTGGTTATTTACTCTTTTTCATTTTTAGCCCAAGATCCCTTTTTCCAGACCCACGGAAAGCTGGAGACTGTTCCTCGCTGTGTTCTCAGTGAGCTCCACTGTTCCTCACTGTGAAAGGAATCAGCCAGTGGTGGACTGAGGGATGTTGCATAGCACAACCCGAGTGCCAGGCACATATTACTCTCACTGAGCAAAAATTCCCTGGAGTTGTGCAAGGCCCTGAGTCCGGACAGCCGTATAGGGAATGTTAAGAGCGAGAGAGCAAAAGAAAGAGAAACTTAATATATTAAAACATTAATATATAAAACTAATATATTTAAATAAAATTTAATATGTAAAACATAAAAAAAACTATAAAGAAAATAGCCTCAGTGAATGAGCAGATTTAGAGTGGATTTTAAAGGGAAAAGATAATGAGTTTAGTAATTTTGGAATTTAGATCTGGCAGAGGACATGGTAGTCATCTAGTTCAATGCCTTCATTTTACAGATGAGGATATAGTAAAAGAGGTATGGTAAATTGAGCCAAGCCACAAATTTAGGCAACCATAGAGGAGAAAGAGAAGCAATTTAATATTCATTGGTTGCCACCTTACTTCCAGGTAAAAGCTTTGCAATGAGGTAG